AATGGCGAAGTCATTGGACCTCATTTTTTTGAACGTACAATTAATAGTCCAATGTATTTGGAATTCCTCGAAAATGATTTGCCAGGATACCTAGAGAATGTTCCCCTTGCAGTTAGACTAAATTTATGGTATCAACAAGATGGTGCTCCTGCTCATTATGCTCGTATTATACGGATGTTTTTGAATCAAAGATTCCCAAATCGGCGGATAGGGCGGGGTGGATCAGTTCTGGCCTCCGAGATCACCGGATTTGAACGCCCTTGATTTCTTTTTATGGGGATACGTTAAAGATACAGTGTATAGTGAAGCTCCAACGACAAGATTGAATGGAAAGAATAAGAAGAGCTTGTGAAGCGATAACTCCTTTAATGCTTGGAAATGTACAACGCAACTTTCGCCGTCGATTACTGTTATGCTTAGAAAATAATGGTGCACACTTTGAGCATCTCCTCCATGCGGAGAGGGCTGATAACAATGCAATCTTGCCTTAACTGGTTTGGTCACCACTCGACCTTGCCTTCACTGGCTGAGTTACCACTCGACCTTGCCTTCACTGGCTGGGTCACCACACGACTTTGCCTTCACTGGCTGGGTCACCACACGACCTTGCCTTTACTGGCTGGGTCACATACCTTCCCTAGGGGCTGTAGGAACTTGCAGATGGTGCGAAGGCTTAAGCGCTGAACCAAGGTAGCTGTGGGGCAGGGTTTTGCACTATGTGACTGGTGGGTGATCTCTTTACCGAGGTAAGTAGCCAGTTCTGTGTTAGGCCCCTTGGTTGTCTAGGTAAGTGCGAACCAACAAACAGCCCAACTCACGCTAGGTCGATTTAGAGGAAATTACTTTTATCCCCAGCATAAAATTTTATTAAAAATCCCCACTTGACCTTGAAATGGTCATGAAAATATAGGTTCAAGGACATTGTCAGGGTCGTGGTTTGTTCTCCCCTCGACATCCAACAATTTTTCTCACAAACACTATCCGGGAAAAATCGAGATTTTTTGGCTTTCTGCTTCAATTAGTAATTTGTCTTTGAAATGACCTCTATGGTCAATTTTGATCCATAACATGAAAGTTGATCTGGACGTAAAATTTTGCGCTCTTTCAAAATCCGGGATCAAAAATATGGGTTTCTATTTGAAAATTGAAAATAGACCTTCTCAAATAACCTTGATAAAGGTCAAGGTCATTGTCAAGGTCATAGTTCAATCAGCCCTTCCACATCCAACAATTATTGTTTTAAACATTTCTTTATTTAATCGCGATGTTTCGAGTTATTTGGCTGGCTAAGTTAAAATGGGTCACCCTGTATATTGCAAGATTTTGGTTATGAGAGTACGTTTATAATTTAAAAGGAGTGCGTGCGCATTACATAAAGATATGTTCCGCGTAACGTATGAAGCGCATTACGCAACATTTATCTCTCTTGTTCATCGAATAATAAAAAAAAATAAAATGATACATTAAGGGGGGATTTGGGTCTAGAAAGTCAAAAAACTCGATTTTTTTTATTGCATTTTTCGCAAGTATTTGGGTTTTAGAATAAGTACGTAAAAGGATTTTTACGGATTTGTAAAGATTACAAAGATATAGCGCCTGGAATGTAGGTGCCTTTGCAAGGAGCTCTGAGCGCGTTCCGCCTTGGGTTCAGGAGTAGGTAATAAAGCATTGTATAGGGATTATATTTTGACTCGAATTCGGGCAACTGTTATTTTCGAAAATTAAAGGAAGAAATTTCTGTTTTGAAACAATGTCGACCTTTCTGTAAAGGAGCAGCTGATTGTGTATCAGTGTTGCTTCGAACATTGGCACGAGTGGACGCAAACAAGTTCTTCGTGTATCAAATACATTTTCGCATACTTTTATGCAGTAAAATGGATAGAAAACGTTCGAGAAAACGACGAATTTATGCAGACCGTCAGAAAAAACGACATTTCACGGGCAATCGATTTACGGCTGAGAAGGATGTAGACTTTACGAGCACGACGGCAAAGAAATTGAAGGCTTCTGAAAATATTGATTTTTCTGTTTCAAGAGAATTTAGTTACTGTATCTTAAATTTTTTTAGTGTTT